TGGCCGTGGGGCCAGACGGTCAGGTGACATGGGGTGACCATAGGCATCGTCACCCAAACCAGGACACCCGAGAGTTACCCGAGGTGCTGTTAATAATTACCCCAAGACACGGGTATTGACTAGGGTTGTCTTGGGCAAATGGGGATGCATGGCTAATCGCTACCATTAGCTGGTACTGACCCTCTGCTGCATGCAAGGAAGCCACAGGCGTGAGTCTTTGCCTGCTGTGCCTGCTGAAGCAGCCTGTCTCGGTCAGCTTGTGGCTGTGTAACCGTCCGCTCTGAGATGTTGCTGCCTAAGACGACCGTTTCCCTGGCCCGTAACTCTGTGGGTTGGCAGCGTGGCCTGTGTGGAGCAGAGCGGCTCTACTCTCGGCTGGGCTTGTGCATGCACCACAGTCAGCCACCAGGTTTGCGGGGTTGGCGGGTTGGGGCAGAAGGAATGGGCTCAGCTGGGTGGCTTTCTGCTCCACGTGGTCTCTCGTCCTCGTGGTGGGGGCCAGGTTACAAGACAGAGACCAGGGTGAGCTCAGTCTCCTGAGGCCCTAGCTTGGCCTTGGCACTGGGTGGGTTCTGCCTCATTCTGTTGGTCTAACCAAATCATGTGATGAAGGGCTAGGATGATAGCATCCATCTCTCAGTGGGAAGAGCCATACAAACAGACGCCAGAGGGTGAGTCCAGCGTAGCCCCAGTTGCTCTCAGCTCATAGTGCCAGCCGGCCTCTGACCTCCTTCACCTGGTCCTCCTCCAGCGTGGCCAGGAAGGAGGGGCCCGGGCCTCCTACCTTGAGAGTTCCCAAGAGATGGGCCGCATGCTCCTGGCTCCTGTGGGAGGACTCTGCTTGGTCCTTCGTCTGGGGGCTGGTCTCTTCTTGCCCACAGTGGAGAATTTATTGCCAAAATATTTATCTGAAATTTACAGGGGGGTGAAACTGTTTCCCTTGAAGGTGTGATTGTGTAGCCTTTCAATTCTGCCTTCTGCATGAGCATCAGTCTCCCAGGGACGCAGCAGGAAGCAGCTCCGCCAGTCAGATGATGTATTGGTCCCTGGCTTCAAACTGTATGAAAAATTACAAGGTCATTAACTCTGACACAGGAAGGAGACCTGCCCGGGTGTGGGGACACCACTCGCCTGAGAGTTGTGGTGGGAGGTGGGGGCCGCCCTGTTCTTTCCATTTTCCAAGGGTTGGAAATGGGGATGTTACTGAGGGTGTGAGTTCACCCACCGACCTTATCCTGCCTGAGCTAACAGCACTGCTGAAAAGCCAGGTCACCTGAGCCACGGCTCTGTGTGGTTGAGGGCACACCACATACCCCAAAAGCTCAGGGGTCTGCGGCCAAACCCGGAGACCAAACCAGCGCAGCCCCCAGCCTTGAGGGCAGCTCAGCTAATGATGGACGCCAGCAGGGCCCCCCAACCCCCACTGCGGGGGGCCTCGCCTCTCCCCACGTCTGAAGAAGGGCATGTGAAGCTTCAGTCCTTCGAGACAGGGTGGGGGACCCAAGGGCCGAGCGACCTGAGGCTGCATTCACCCAAGAAGGGGCTGGGATTCCAGAACCGAGGTCTGCGGGCCCCCGGCACCACCTGCAAGCTCAGCACAGCCGGGGCTGGAACCTGCGGAGCCTGCCTGGGGAGGCTTGCAGATCGCCCAGCAGGTTCCACACGGAATCTCCCCAGGGGCAGGGTGGCGCAGGTGGCTGCTGGGTCCCCTGCTGTGTTGCCCAGGCTCGCTTGTTATTTTAATGGACAGATAGACCTGTCTCCATCCGTGCGGCGCAGCGTGCTGTGCTCAGGTCAGGTGACCCCACAGCCGTCTCTCCACTTGCCATTTCCTTGTGTGGGGGACACGATCAGGTCCCTTGGTCCTCCCTCAGCGGCACAGGCACCCGCACCTGCTCCTCCTCTCGGGCCTTGGTTTTGACCCCCTTTTTTTCTTTTTTGAGACAGAGTCTCACTCTTTCGCCGTGCTGGAGCGCAGTGGCTTGATCTTGGCTCACTGCAACCTCTGCCTCCCGGGTTCAAGCAATTCTTCCACCTCAGCCTGCCATGTAGCTAGGATTACAGGTACCACCATGCCCGGCTAATTGTTGTATTTTTAATAGAGATGGGATTTCACCACATTGGCCAGGCTGGTCTTGAACTCCTGGCCTCAAGTGATCCACCTGCCTTGGCCTCCCAAAGTGCTGGGATGACAGGCGTGAGCCAGCATGCCCGGCAGTTTTGTGGCATTGGGGCGTTGAAGGCTAGGAGGTAGCAGAGCATGCAAAGGCCTGGGAAGGGTGTCCGGCATGGGCACCACCTGTGCCAAGGCCTTGAGGGGTGTGCATGGCGGTGCTGGGAAGGCCAAGGTGCTGTGAACACGGGAGTGGGCAGGGCAGGCGTCAGGAGCCCTGGGGGACTTTGTGTTTCCCGGGGTGAGGCCACAGGACAGGATGCTGTGGTGAGTGGGGGGACCGAGTCCTGTGGTCTCTGTGCAGGGGGTAGACAGGAAGGCTGAAGCTGCCCGTGTGGCAGGCACTCCTGAAGACGGGCAGGCGATGGAGGACGAGGCTCCGTCCTGCTGCTGCAGAGCTTCCTCCATTCCAGCCCCTTCCAAAGAGGGGCAGGGGTCTGCAGTGCGACTCTTCCCCCGCGAGGCCCCCGCCCCCTCACAAAACCTGGTGGTCTCAGGTTGAGGTGGGAGACACCAGCGGAATGTGGGCAGGCAATGGGTGGGATTCACCAACGAGGCCCCTTCCTGCCACTAACAACAGATATCCCACCCTCGTCTCAAAGGCAAAAAGGAAGCGCCAGCCCAGGTGGCTGGAAAACCCCAGGCTGGGCCCCCAGCAGCTCCAGGCCGGCTTTTCTCAGACAGGCTGCCCCATTCCAGAGATGACAGAGAAATCCTCCATGCTCCCCAGGGCACTGTCCTCCCACGCGTGAGCCTGACGCAGACGCCCAGTTCACTCGGGAGGCAAAGGCCCCCATAGCCAGGCACAGCAGTGACATGGACTCTACCGTCCAGGGAAGGAGCCAGAGTCCTGTGGGTGACGTGGCTGGGACTACGGGGTGGGGTGTCCTGGGTGGGGCTGAGCAGCGAGGAGGCTCCAGGTGGCCGGGCCGCAGTCAGGGAGACGTGTGGGCCACGTGCCGTGTAATCCTCTCACTAAGGAGGGCATGGCTCCCTCCTGCCCCGGACTCTCGATCTGTCCCGTGGTGGGTGGCATCAGAGCGGCCATAAATGATTGGCGATGCAGCCTCCCTGGTTCTCTCTCCCGCCTGGGACTTGGCTTCCTGAAGGGAGGGAGGAGCCCCCTGCTCCCTACACGAGGGAGTGGGAGTGGGCCGGGCTGACGGGCAGCACCTGTGAGTGTGGCGCTCTTCGGGAAAACGGGTCTTTGTAGATGTGGTTAAGATGAGATCAGCCTGGACGAGGGCGGGCCAGGGCTCATCTGGGCAGAGGCTCCGCCCCTGGCCTTGGCACCTTCTCAGCACCGCGGAGGGAACGGGCAATGCCAGGGCTGCCCCCACCCTCTCTCAGGTGGAGGGGGGTTGCGGGAGATGAGGCAAGTACATGCTCAGCCTGGGCCTGGCACACTTGTGCACCCCCTGAATGTCCAGTGAGGGAGGCTAGGGGCTGACAAGCTGCACGTGGTGGAGTTTGGGCCACGTGGGTCGGACCCATTTGTTCCTGGTGATGTTGGCCCGTGGGTGGCAACAGCATTTATTTTATGGGGCGGATGGGATGGGATAGGGTGGGACAGCGCTGGCTCAGGGCACGGAGCAGGTGATGGGGACATGGATTCAGATGTTGGGCTCCTATAAGGAACTGGCTCACCAGTACAGAGGCTGAGAATACTGAGACTGGCCAGTGGCTGGCAGGGGCAAGGAGAGTTGGTGAGGAGCGCCAGTGTGAGCCTAAGCCTGAAGGCAGGAGAGGACCCGTCCCAGCCCGAATCGGGCAGAGGGCATGAAGGCAGGGGAGGACCCGTCCCGGCCCGAATCGGGCAGAGGGCATGAAGGCAGGGGAGGACCCGTCCCGGCCCAAATCGGGCAGAGGGCATGGACGCTCCCTTCCTCGGCCTTTCTATCCCACTCAGGCCTGCAGGGCACGGATTTACACGCTTGGCTGCGTGTAAATGCCCGGTCCCATACCCTGCCACATTGACACAAAATGAACCCTCACAGACAGGACAGTGCGGGGGACAGGCTGGCGTAGACAGATGTCGTTTAAAAGCAGGTATAGGAAGGCTCAAAGGAAGTGTGCGTAGGATACACGGTGGGCCGGGCTCGGCGCTCAGCCTGTAACCCTGGCACTTTGGGAGGCCGAGGCAAGCGGATCACAGGGTCAGGAGTTTGGGACCAGTATGGCCAACATGGGGAAACCCCGTCTTTATAAAAATAATTAGCCAGGCATGGTGGCACACCTGTAATCCCAGCTACTTGGGGGGCTGAGGCAGGAGAATTGTGTGAGCCTGGGGTGGGGGGGCGGAGGCCGCAGTGAGTCTACTGCACTGCAGCCTGGGCGACAGAGCGAGACTGTGTGGGGGGTGCAGAAGGCCAGGAGCTTTGTGGGGTGTATTTGCTGGGGCGGCTGCTTGGGTTTTGTTCACACCCAGGTTGTGTGTGTTCTGGGGTGCGTGGCGTGACGTCTGCACAGCAAGTGGCTGTTTTTAAACGAGATTGCTGGTGTGTGCGGGTGCGGTGGGGGGTGTCCCTGCACAGAACAAGCAAGCACGGGGGTGGGAACCACAGGAAGGAATCTGGTGAGCATTGGGGCCGGCAGAATAACCCCCCCACACACAACCATCGGGTAACGCACAAGAGAAACCGCACTCGGTAAGAGGTCCCCGAGAGAGCAGCCTGCGCCTGCCACAGCCCAGGCCCGCGCCGTGTCTGTGGGTGGCGTCCCCTGAAAACAGCCCCCAGGAAGCAAAGCCCTGGGACCCACCAGCGGTGCACGTACCTCAGGAACACCTGGGAATGGAGGGCCCCCTCAGCCGGCGCCGTCTCCGCAGGTGTGGCAGTGTGGCGGCAGCATGGAGGTCCTGCCCTGCTCGCGCGTGGCCCACATCGAGCGCACCAGGAAGCCCTACAACAACGACATCGACTACTATGCCAAGCGCAACGCCCTGCGTGCGGCCGAGGTGTGGATGGACGACTTCAAGTCCCACGTGTACATGGCCTGGAACATCCCCATGACGGTGAGGCCCTCCCTGCAGCTGGGAACGGGCCCAGCGCAGCTGCCCGTAGTTAATGCCAGGGAGGGGCGGCCCCTCCATTCCCCCGGCCCGGGCAGCCTCAGATCGGCTTCCTGCCCTGTGGCTGAACGCTCCCACACCGCAGCTTCCCGCCCTCAGGCCATGTTTTCAGGTCACCGCGCTGGCTCTCAGGGCCCAGTCAGGGCTGTGGTGTGAATGGGCCGTCCTGGGGCCCCTTCCTTCATGGATGGACGTTTTGGTGTTTTCCTGTTGGCTTTTGGCCTATGAATGTCTGACCTACTTCAAGTTGGGGACAGCTGTTTGTTTTCTAATTTGTAGTTAACTAATTTCCCATAAAGAGCCTGAATCCTGCCTTTTCTTGAAGTCTTAGGACACCCAGTACCCCAGCCACCACAACCCTAAGAAGGGCAGAGGCTGAGATGGGGGCCGAGGTCCCTCCGTCCATCCTCCCATGCCCCAGTGGCTCTGGGAACCCCCTTCCTGGCCACTGCAGGCATTGGGTCCCTGAGATCGGAAGGACTCATTTTCTGCATCAACCCCAGTAAGAGCCAGATCATGCGTCACGGCGCAGTGCACACACACCTTATGTGTACGTCTATCCACATACAGCACTTTGCACACACAGCAACCCCTCATTGACAGTACACGATTAAAAAATTCCCACAGCAGCCTCAAGCTAGTTCACCAGCCCCCACTAGAGTGCGCCCCAGCGTGGGGGCAACACTGCCTGGAGGACCCCAGGCTCGACCACTCACCAGGCAAATCCAACAGCCCGCCCCCAGGTCAGCTCCCAGGGCAGGCAGCACAGGGGGGCCGCGGACACGTGCGCTCGTGTCTGAGATGAGAAGAGGGTGCCTGGTGCTCCTGCGGCCTTGTTTCCATGAACTGATGCAGAAAATGTGCAAGGTGGTGATGTCCCCAAGTGTATGGGCAACTGAATGAGGTCTCCGGCTCCAGGCCCCCAGGCAGAGAGGCCGGCAAACACCTGTCACCTCCCTGCATCCAATGGCCCTGGTGTGAGTCCCTTGACTTGTTAAAGCTGCATAACAAAGCAACAGTGAGTTTCTGGCCTGACAGTCCCCACTTTACCCACGAGAAACTGAGGCACGGAGAGGGTAAGGGACTGTCCCAGGGCCGTGCGCCAGGAGGTCACAGGATTCAGGCCCAGGCCCAGTCGTCTGCCTCCCGCCAAGGCCCGAGACAGGAGCCTGGAGGGTCCCTGGGCGGGAGGCAGGTGCTCCTCAAACCTGGCGCCCGTCAGAGTACCAGCCCTGCAGCCCCCCAGGCCCCACGATCCCAGGAAGAGACCGATGCCGCACACGGCTGTGGTTTCTCACGGCAGATGACACAGGCTAAAGTCAGCAGAGGGAAGGGACGCCCAGGCGGGTGTCCTGGGTCCTCACCGGGCTGGTCTCCTGGACATGGCTGACCTCGGTCTCCACCCCCCAGAGGTAAGGCTGATGCTGTGCAGCCAAGGCCAGGGGAGCAGGGCCATCTTCTCAGGCAGGAAGCTCCTGGGCCTAGGCCAGCCGTGGATGCTCGGGGCAGGGACACGCAGGCTGCGCACAACAGGGCCCTTCCTGTCGGGAGCCGCGCCTGGAACCTCTGTGGATCTCGGGAGGCCTGGAGCCCCCCCCCACCTCCTCGTGGGGATGGTGACACTCATGTGCCTTCCCGCCTCCTTCTGGCCTTGCAGAACCCAGGGGTGGACTTTGGGGACGTGTCCGAGAGGCTGGCCCTGCGCCAGAAGCTGAAGTGTCGCAGCTTCAAGTGGTACCTGGAGAACGTGTACCCGGAGATGAGGACCTACAACAACACGCTCACGTACGGAGAGGTAGCGCCTCCACCCGGAGGGCCCCGCGCCGCCCGCAGGCTTCCCCAACTCCCGCACACGGTGCATTCACAGTGACGCAGGTTCACATGAACACACATGCCAGCGTGCAGAATACACGTGGATACAGACGTGGACGTACCTAGAGGCAGGCACATGTACAGGCCCACCCGTGCATACACATGTTCACATGCAAGTACATTCACACACATGCCCGAGTGCACGATGCAGGTGTATACGCACTGAACAGAGAAGATGCCTGGTGCTCCTGCGGCCTTGTGTCCATGAACTGATTCAGAACTAAATCCATGCAGACGTGCTCTAATGCATGTACCAGTGCATACGGACACAAGAGTACACACTTGCACGGTTTTGCTCCTGTGTACACAGCTCCTCACACACAATCGAACAAACGCCAAAGGGGCCTGCCTGTGCAGACAGACAAGTACTTGTTATCGAGGCAAAGTGACATGAGCGTGCGCGTACACAGGTGCACACATCTGTGCGTCCACATGGGCAGAGCCGCGTTCGGCAGGTTCCCACACACTCATACAGGTACATCAGCGACACGGAGACGCACCTGTCTTCACCGGTCCCCACAGGCCCGGCCACACACACGGCGGTCTGTAAAACCAGCGAGACGGCACTGCTCCTCTGCCCTCCCCTGGTCTGTGCAGTGGGACCGGAGCCGGAAGAGCATCCCAGCCCCGAGCTAGCACTCAGATGGGGCGAGGAGAAGGGGTGCCTGGGCTGGACATTTCTCGCGGAGCCTCCCCTCCCTGAAGCTCCTGGTCCACCCTGTGCTGATGCCAGGCCTGTGGGCAGAGGTTTCCCGGGCAGCGTGGAGAGTGGATGGGTGCACGTGGTGCGGGGCGGGGGGCTCCCTGTTCCCTAGCCCCCTGTGCTTCTGCTCTACCTGCTCCATCCTCAGTCAAGCTCAGGCCCACCCACCCGTAACAGCCAGACTCTGCTGGGCTTTCTCAGTTGTCCCAATCCAAACCTGTGTGACCTCCGGCGGTAGCCACGCTGGATGGGTTAGCTCCTGCTGCAGAACCAGCATCCTGGAAATGACGAGCATTGGCCCCAGTGCTCACGAGCCAGGGTCACCCCACCGTGCTGACCTCAGATGGGGCTGGAGGCTGGAGGTTGGCTGGCTGACGACAACTCATCCCCTAGCAGGCTGGCCCAGGCTTGTTCTCAGAGTGGTGAGTAGTCTCTGCCCACTCAGCGGGACTGCAAGGTTGCAGGGAGCAAGGCAGGGAAAGCCCCTCCACGGCCAAGGCCTCAGTCCCCTCTGTCTGCGCGAGGCGTATGCTGCTGACTTCAAGCGTCCCTGTTGAGGGATGGTCAGGTCACGATCTGTGCATGGCAGACACGTTGTGTCTCCGTCAGTGACAAATGCAGTCCCCACCCCTTCCCCGGAGGTCCAGCAGTCCCTGCCCCTCCTGCTCCCGGGAGCCCCTCCCTCGGCGCTGGCTGCAGAGCTGGGTGGGGGAAGCTCCCTGGGGCCTCACCCGCGGGTGACTCTGGCCTTTCTCCTGTGGCTTCTGGTTGCAGGTGAGAAACAGCAAAGCCAGCGGCTACTGCTTGGACCAGGGAGCGGAGGATGATGACCGAGCGATCCTCTACCCCTGCCACGGGATGTCCTCCCAGGTAAGAGTGGCAGCCGCCGCCCGTGGAGCTCCCAAGGGAGGTACCCCAGGCCACCCGCACCCCACACCCAGGGCAGGTGGGAGGTGGGTCCCAGGGACAGAGGCGCAGGGCCAGCCTGGTGGGGCTGCATTCTGGGACTTGGAGCAGCCTGAGGGCCCCTCTAGAAGAGGCCTCCCACCCCACCCCACCCCACCTGGAAGGCAGCAGAACGTGGTAAAGCCTGGGCCAGGAGGGCGGCTCACGCCTATAATCCCAGCACGTTGGGAGGCCGAGGTGGGCGGATCACTTAAGCCCAGGAGTCAAGAGCAGCCTGGGCAGCATGGCAAACCCCGTCTCTACAAAAAAATACAAAAACCAGCCTGGCGTGGTGGTGCAGGCCCATAATCCCAGCTACGTCAGAGGCAGAGATTGAGCTGAGTTCATGGCACTGCACACCAGCCAGGTCAACAGAGCGAGACCCTGTCTCAAAAACAAAAAGGAACCAGGCCTTTGGGGTCAGAGGGGCCTTGGTCACATCCTTCCCCATCAGTCCAGAGGGGGACGGCAGCGTTTACTGCTCGGGGCTGTCCTGTGGTTACACAGAAGATGCGGGAAGCACTTGCCCCGCGTGGATCAATACAGAAACACTGCTGCCACAACAGCAGGCCACCAGCCACTGAGCCACCCCAGCGGGCTGGCTCCCCCGCAGCGAGGGCCAGCCCCACTCAGTGGAATCGCAGTGGTCAGGGGCCGGGTGTCCAGAAGGTCAGGGAGTCCTGAAGGTCAGGGCAGATCTGACCACGACCCCCATAGAGAGCTGGGCATTTCTAACCCCACGGGAACGCGTGTTCTGCTCACACACGGCGCTGCTTTTTAGTGGGCACTGGATGTGACCGAAATTAAACCCGACTCCTATCCTCCCTGAAATGAGCGGGTCACCGTGCTCTGAGTCCGAGCCATCTTCATGACGTCTGTCCCGGCAGAAACCCAGCAACCGGCGCAAACCGACGTCCGGGCCTGCAGGGCGCCCGGCACCGCCCAGCCCACACCCACGTGGACCCTGCCTGGCCGGCCTCTTCCACCCCCAACAGTGTCCCCAGGGTGGGAGGCCCCAAGGCAGCCACTCACGGCCATTTGTAGGCGGCCGAAGGCTGCTGGCTGGGGAGGGCCTGGGCTGGACGCTGCTCACGCGAAGCCCCGGTGGTCCTGTCCCCAGCTGGTGCGGTACAGCGCTGACGGCTTGCTGCAGCTGGGGCCTCTGGGCTCCACGGCCTTCCTGCCCGACTCCAAGTGTCTGGTGGATGACGGCAGGGGCCGCACGCCCACCCTGAAGAAGTGCGAGGACGTGGCGCGGCCAGCACAGCGGCTGTGGGACTTCACCCAGGTCAGCCGTTGGGGAAGGGGGCCGCAGGGTGGGGCAGGGCCGCCAGGACCCCCAGACACCTCCTCCACTGGCGCCAGCCCATGGTGGGGAGGCGGAGTGCAGCAGTGGGTGGGAGGGGACAAGGCCTCGATGCTCGTCAGGAGGGCAGAGGACTGTCCAGGGCCGGACCATCTGAGCAGAGCCCTGCAGCCGCCTCTTCCAGCCTCAGGTGCCCGGGGCAGAAGGGGAATTCGGCAGGGGTGAGGTACAATTCCAGCCTGGACTGCTGGCCCGCAGGACAGGCGGGAAATCCTCGAAGCTCCGTGGAGTCAGCCCCGTCCTGGCCCCTGGGTGCTGCTGGAACGCTGGGTTTCCATTCAAGCTGCCCAAGAATGAGCCTGAGGGCTGAGCATGCAAAGCACCTCCCGGAGGACGTCGCCGGGTTGCGCCTGGCTGACTTGCTGCGCCTGTCTCCACAGAGCGGCCCCATTGTGAGCCGGGCCACAGGCCGCTGCCTGGAGGTGGAGATGTCCAAAGACGCCAACTTTGGGCTCCGGCTGGTGGTGCAGAGGTGCTCGGGGCAGAAGTGGATGATCAGAAACTGGATCAAACACACGCGGCACTGACCCCGCCTCTGCCTGGGCCTGCACAGGCCTCGGGAAGGCGCTGGGCTGAGCCCAGCATACATGGCAGGGCTCCAGGTGTGGCCAGGACACGGAGGCTGAGTGTCAGCCCCTCCTCGGACAGGCAGCTCTACCCAAGGGAGGGCGTCTGGGACAGCGACACCAACTCAAACACGTGCCTTCTCCACGGCATCTCCTGTCCTGGGACGGCCACCGCTTCTGCATGTGACACAGCCCCCTAGGGAGGCCAAGCCCCGGACCCCACACAAGGCTGCCCGGGCGCTTTCATCCACAGGGTTCCCATGCTCCGGGCGGCCACTCAGCCCTCCCTCCGAGACCTAAGCCACACGTCACAACACAGCTCCTCGCAATCGGTAAGGGGCACTGGGGGACAAGGACAGTGACAGCAGTCCCGTAGACAAACCCCAGGCCGGGTCTGGGAGGCTGGTGCGACTGCTTCAGAGACCAAATAAAGAGCGGATCAGACAGCAGCGCTGTGTGTGTCTTCCTGGGAGCCGAGCGGGCAGCTGCGGCTGGGGCCCAGTCCCACCTATCTCTCTGCCACGGCCCCTCACCCATTTTTATAAATAAAGTTTTATTGGCACCCAGCCACGCCCATTGCTTACTATTGTCTGTGGCCACCACTTCTGGGCTTTCGGCACAGAGTCGAGCGGTGGCCACGTGGCTCACAAAGCCACAAACATGGACTCTGGCCGATTAGGAAATCATTTGCCGATGCCTGTGCTGGGATGTGGCCTGGCAGGCCATGGCACCAGGTGTGGGGGAACAGGGTGAGGGCAGTGGCCGGGTGCTACTCACATGCCTCATCACTGTCAAGCACCTCCCCCGGCTGCAAAGGAAGCTGGGAAATGTCTCATGGGGCAGCCGTGTGTCCCCCTAAAATCCAGGGTTTGACATTAACAGGGAGGAGAGAAGAAGCGACATTGGTGAAAATCAGCCCCTTTGCTGTGGGCAGGAAGTTACACTTCTCCAGAAATTCACAGGCACACGGTGTCCTCGTGGCCCCTGCCCCATGACAGAGGGGCCGTCCCTGCTCTGTTCTCAGTCACCGACACTCACAGCTACTGCGAGAGCTGTGGGCTGGTCCTGGAGCCAGAGGGGCTGTGGCTGGTCCCGTGCACAGATCCCCGCAGGGCCCAAGTCACCATCTCCGGGGGAGATCACAGTGCAGCCGCGCACTCCTCCCTCCACCTGGAGGTGGGTGGCTCCTGCCGTCCAGACGGCGCGGGACCCAAGAGCCCGTGTGGCTCCTCTAGCAGACGCAACGCCAGGGTCCAAAAACCCAGCCAAGCAGCTGTGCCCTCAGGGCGGTCTGCTGCCCCACCTTGCAGTCCTGGGCAGAAACTATGGGCCCCATTGGTGACTTCCAAGTTTCTCAGGGAGTGACCTGAGAGCAGCCAGTGGGATTTCTAGATGGCAGGGCTGCTGGGGGTGCCTGAGGACCTCACCCATCCTCGCCCGGGAGCAGCCCCACAGCCCACCCTCTGGGAATGCCAGCCATCCAGCGCTGTCTCCAGACGAGCAGCCACAGGCCCGCATCCCAGCGGCGTCTCTTTCTGGGAGAGGACTCGTTACCCGGTGCTGCCTCGGCCTCGGGCCCATGAGAGAAACCTTCCCCAAGATCAGCGCTGCTCTGTGCTCTCAGCCCTGGCACGAAAGAAGCAGGTGCCACCATTCACAACACAGACACGGAGCCACCCCAGCTGCCACCCATGGTGGACCGGGTGAAGAACACCTGTGCAGACACCATGAGCTCCACACAGCCAGAAAAACGGAGATCACATCCCCTGCAGTGACAGAAGCCCCTGGAGGCCGTCAGCCTGAGAACAGGAGCAGAAAACCAAAACCACACGTTCTCACTGTACGTGGGAGCTGAACACTGCGTGCACACGACACAGAGGAACGGCAGACACCGGGGATTCCCAGGGGCAGAGGGAGAAGGACGAGGGCAGGAAAGCCTGTCAGGAGCCGCACTCAGTCCCTCAGTGACGGGGCTGTCAGAAGCCAGAACCTCAGCATCACGCTACATACACACACGACAAGCCTACACGTGTATCCCTGGACCTAAAATTTTATTTAAATGGGCTGGGTGCAGTGGCTCACACCTGTAATCCCAGCACTTTGGGAGGCTGAGGCAGGCAGATCACCTGAGGTCAGGAGTTCAAGATCAGTCTGGCCAACATGGTGAAACCCCGTCTCTACTAAAAGTACAAGCATTACGCAGGCGTGGTGATGCGTGCCTGTAGTCCCAGCTGCTCGGGAGGCTGAGGCAGGAGAATCGCTTGAACCTGGGAATTGGAGGTTACAGTGAGCCAAGATGGTGCCACTGCACTCCAGCCTGGGTGACAGAGAGAGGCTCCATCTCAAAGGAAAAAAAAATGGGCAGGTGTAGAATTTGGCAAGTCCAGGCTCCCAGTCTCCAGGGAGTGGGGACACTGAGCTGCTGTCACCGTCACCGGTCCGAGTTCAGCCTGCTGGGAACACATCACTGCCTGCTAGCCCAGGGGAGAGGCCACGGGGCTGTGTGCTTCACCGCTCTTTCCAAAGCCCAGGGGCGTGTTCCTTCCCCAGCACCCCACCCACTGGGTGCCTGCCCACCGCAGGGCCCCTCTGCTCAGCCTGTTCCCGGGACCTCCAGGCTCTTGCTTCCTGTTCCTGTAAGAAGTCCCGAGGGGTCCCAGTTTCTCTGTTCTCCGCAGAGAATTCTCCCAGCCCACGTCTCCGCCCTCTGTCTAGTCCAGACCTGGCCAAAATTTTAAGATCATGGAGGCAAAACACAGGCATTGAGTGAGGCCCTAAAAGTCAGCCGCTGCCAGGGACCGGCCCACAGGCTCACACAAGTCCAGAAGGTTCCCGGACGACGTCAGGATGCTTAGCGTCCCTTACCTTGCAAAGCACAGCGCCTGCAGTTTAGAGCAGGAGGAGGGCGGGGCGAGCTCAGCTGCTGCCTCCCCAGCTCATTAGGCAAACGGACAGGCAGGTCGAGGCTGGCAGCTTCAGAGCCCACACGGGAGCGCACAGAAAACCAGACGCCTAGAAAACTTCTCCCAAAACCTCAGTAGAACTCCCACCCTCCTGCTGAGGGAAGCCTGGGCCTGATCCAGCCCCTCCTCCCTGGCACCAGGAGAAGTCCCGAGGGGGGGCCTGGGAGGACGGTCCCCGCAGCGCGGCGGAGGTGAGGTGCTGTCCACACTGACAGAGACTCCCCGGGCATTACTACCACGTGGCAGTCTGCTTCACAAATTACGCCCCTGGGGCTTCCTTATTTCCTAAGGACCCCCTCTGTCCATGCCTGCCTCCTAAGTGGCCATGCACCTCTCGAGACCTGCCCCTGTTCTGCAGAAAGTGCCCACGGAGGCTAGAGATCATTTAATCCCAAGAGCTCACGGGTGGGGCAGAGCGGGAGATGCCCCAACACCCACTGCCATGGCATCTGCTGCCACACAGCGTCGCTGCTGAAGACGGTCCCTGCGCGGCTTCGTGGCCAGTGCTTGCCCTGGCCAACACCCGCCGTGGCCACCAGGACGTCCGTGCTGGCCTAGATTCCCGCCTGCCTCACAGGGGTGCCCCACATGGGGACCAGGCACGCCTGCTTGCCTCAGTCACAGAGACATGCTGACGGAGACGGGATGCTTGTCCCTCCGCTGTTCAGGCTGAAATCTGACCTGACGTGGAGGTGGGGCTACCGCAGGCGGCTGGGTCCCTCCTGAACAGCTCGGCCCTGCCCTCACGGTAACTACTAACTTTCATCCAGTAGTTTCTGAGGAAGCTGTTTGTTAAAAGCGTCCGGCACCGCCCTTCCTGCCTGGCTTCTTCCTCCTCCACCCCCAGCTGCCCCCACCGCTCCTTAGAGCTGAGCCCACCTAGAAGCTGAAGTAAGAGCTCACAGGGGACGCAGCCACTATGCCGAGGATGGAGGGAAGGACAGCTCAGAGACGGGTCCGGGAGCAAACGGGGAGACTGAGGCAGAGACGACCTTCCCAGCGTCAATGCGCAGAACACAGGGGCTGAGAATCCCCCTTCCTTCCCGGAGCCAGGGCCGGGGCTGGGAGCTGGGGCCTCACTGAGCCGCACCCTGATGAAATCAGACACTGCCTGCAGCACCAGGGCTGTCCTGGAGCCTCTGCCCCCGCCCCGCGCCCCCCGCGCCACCCTGCAGGGGCCAGCCCTTTAGCTTTCACGAACGTTGTGAGCCAGCGGCTTACTAAACCATTGTTCAGATTCAACAGCATGAAACCACGCTGAAATAAACTACATTAGGCCGGGCATGGGGGCTCACACCTGTAATCCCAGCACTTTGGGAGGCCAAGGCAGGAGAAGCACCTGAGGTTGGGAGTTCGAGACCAGCCTGGCTAACACGGCAAAACACTGTCTCTATAAGAAATACAAAAACTAGCCAGGTGTGCACCTGTAGTCCCAGCTACTCAGGAGGCTGAGGCAGGAGAATCGCTTGAACCCGGGAGGCGGAGGTTGCAGTGAGCCGAGATTGCACCACTGCACTCCAGCCTGGGTGACAGAGCAAGATCCTGTCTCAAAAATAAATAAATAAATAAAAATAAACTATATTATAAGGAAAGATAACCCAGAACACATCCGTCGTAATGACGACAGGATTTTACTGTCTGTGCTCCGAGGCTGTTTGCGTCTGTTGTGCAGTCCCCCCACGCCCAGCCAGGGTCAGAGCCGAGGCTGCACCGGGACCTGGAGGGCTGGGCGGGGCAGAGGGTGGGGGGAGAGCACCGGGACCTGGAGGGCCAGGCGGTGGGGCGGGGGTTGGTGGGGGGGTGCCGGGACCTGGAGGGCCGGGTGGCGGGGGGGGGGGGGGGGAGAAGGGCACCGGGACCTGGAGGGCCAGGCGGCGGTGGGGTGGGGGGGGTGGGGGGTGTTGGTGGGGGGGTGCCGAGACCTGGAGGGCCGGGTGGGGGGGCGGGGCGCCGGCGCCCAACGTCCTGGGAATCTAAAACTGCATCAAAGTAAAACGGTTTCTGTAAGAGACAACCCTGGCTTCAGCCGCGCAGCGCAGATAAGGGGCTGCTCAGGGCCAGGGGCCGGGAGAAGCGCAGGGGAGGA